AGAATTAGAAACTTGTTTAAATTGTTTTTAATTACAGTCAAAATGGAAATCATCTGGTGGAGAGTGTATCTTCAGGCCTAACCATAGTTAGCTCTACCAGTTAGAAAAGTACTTATGTACAAAACAAGGTGGAAGACACAGCCTTCACAGTTCACTGTACAATGCTCTCGGTCGGTGGTTCTCAAACTTCATCGTGCATAAGGATCACATACAGGACCCCGCACCAGAGTTTCTCACCCCATCAGTCTGTGGTGAGACTGGCATTTTAACAGCTCACTGGTGCCACTGCTCAGGGAACCACATGTTCAGAACTACTACTCTAGGTTAAGACTTTGCCATTAGATAAGATGTTTTCTTATAAATGGCCTTTCCTTGCAAATGATTTTATTTAGTTTCAAAACACAATTAGGGCAATCAAAATTTTAATTGATTTAATTGAAATTGAAAAATTGTTAATACAGTGTAAAGAATGAAAACCAAAAGCTGGATTTTATTTATTTTTAAAAATATTTTATATATTTATTTTTACAGAGAGGGGACGGGAAGGAGAAAGAGTGGGAAAGAAACATCAATGTGTGGTTGCCTCTCATGTGTCCCCTACTGGGGACCTGGCCCGCAGCCCAGGCATGTGCCCTGACTGGGAATGGAACCAGGACCCTTTGCTTCGCAGGCCCGCGCTCAATCCACTGAGCTACACCAGCCAGGGCCAAAAGCTGGATTTTAAATTAATCTATGTACAGTGCCACAGGTTAGCCAAACAACAAACTTCATCTGAGAACTTTGTAAAAAATTTTTAGTATCACACATTACAGAACCTATTATGCATTTTCAACAACCACTTTGTTGGCATCTCGTTTAGCCCACATGAAAAAGATTTAAATGCAATATGGCAATTTGAAAATAAAAAGTGGATATCTTGGTACTGTATCCATTGCAGTTTAGATTGGTAATTTTTACAATTTGATATAATATTTAGTTTAAGCTACATATTGAAATCCCCCAGTCTTTTTTTACTGCTTGTCCTGCCCCAGACTTTATGGTTTATTCTTAACTGACACTCATGCATAGCAAGGTACTACTGCTGATAGAAGTGGATGTTCTTGATATAAAGACAACAGGTTTTGTCACTACCAGCAGGAAAATCATGCAGAAGCTGTCAGTCATCTTTCATACAGTGGGAGAGATTATATTATCAAGGTGATACACCTGGGACATATGGTCCAAAACCAAACTCAAAAAGAGGCTGATTAACAGAGAATCTGGCAAGTGCTCTGACTACCTTGGAAATCATCCCATTCCTGCACAAATATGAAATTGGTAATTTAATAGGCTTTTCACTTGTCTAATAACTCTTACCTGTTCACTGTCAACAAAATAAGGAGAAACTCTTTCAATTCAACTAATCTGAAAGTACAATAATTATATTGTTATTTATTAGTAGTCATATCGAATGTTGGTACTATTTCTTTACTATCACTATATAACATACTTCTGGGGTGTCACATTGAAAGACAGGTTCAAAGTCAATTCAGATGTTTCCCCTTGTAGTCTTAAAATGGAGAAATGCATTATAAATATTTTTGTGGATTTATAATAACAAACATGTACAAAGAAAAATAACTAAGTTCAGAATGTTTGGAGACATGTTTCTGTTACTAATACAGTCTATTTACCATGGAAAATAATAGAAGGACAGATTAACTATTGCGTGGATGCACTCTATTATCTAAAAAGATTATAAAAAATATGCCATTTAACGAGTCACAAAGAATATCAGTATAATAGAAAGCATTCAATAAATACTTATTATATGTAGTTGCTTTTCTATATATCTCATACTTTTTCCTTTAGAGCAAATCTAAGTAGGGTTTGTTACAGATGTACCTCAAACATGCTTTAAGGAGGTTGCATGTGCAACATTTTTATTAATACCAAATTCAACATTTAGTGTAATGTGGTATGTTCAGATATTTAAAGTACTCTCTGCAAATACATGTCAAGCATTTTTTTCATTAAAAGGCAATATAAAGTCATATTTGTTTTCTAAGGTACAAAAACATGTGTTGACAATTCATTCCAAGAATAGAGTGTATGAATGAATAGAATGTATAGATGTTTTATATCAAAAACAGACTCACCCTGCACTTGGGACAATGAATTCAACCACTTTGCAATATCTGAATCTATTTAAAATAAACTTATATCCCCTCATATCTTTTGTTCTTTTCTATAATTCCAAGAGACTTGCATCTTATACTTCATATTCTCATCCAAAAGCCACTAATCCTATTTACCCTGTAAGATCAAGACCAAGCAAATCTACCTACCTCTGAAGCCTTTTCAAACAAAACCCAGTATGAAATGTTATTATCATGCTCTGAACTCCTGCAGTTCTCATTAGACATGCAATCTCTTATTGTCATGAGTTGTTAACTCTGTTCAAGCATGAGCATCAGATTCCTCCCAAACGGAGATAAGCTCCTGGAGGGCTGAGAGCGACCAAGTCCTGTTCTCTACAATGTCCAGAAAGTACCTTGCACATGACAGGTCATCTATTGTGAGTGCAATGCTGAATAATAAAATGCAATGAAGAGTTGGACGATTATAAAATATATTTTCCACTTACTACTTCATGAGTTTGATGTACATTTACATCCCATAGTATAAATAATGCATCATTAAAATGAACAGTTCCTGATTCTCTGAGTGTCAAAAACCAAAATATCCGTAAATAAGACTTTTTAATGATCACAGTACATTGTAAAATTCCTCTGTGTTTCCTCTACACTACGATGATTCAGAACCAACCCTCAGTGGGGCTCTCACTCTACTTCCTAAGGTAATATATAAAACCGTACATGTGCCAATGTTGAAAATGTATTTTAAACTAATATGAACACAACCAAATCAAAATTAACAAATGCTTAACTCTGCTATCTTCAAAATGAACAGGAGTGATAAGGAAAGCTATTTTCACACTGGGAGAAAAAAAAAACCTAAAACAGTTGGCATGTTTTGATGAAAATAAGGTGCTCTCTAATTAATATTAAAGGAAGACAAATCGTTCTTACAATAGATTGACCAGTTTACTTCTCTTCAGTCTCTTTGAAATTATTGAAGGAGTGGTTGCAACATGGAATTTCAATGTTTTAAAAACACAGTGCTTGGCAGGCAGGCAGGCCTCAGAGATGGACCAGTTTAAAATAATAAGGACACTAGGTAGAGGGGGACAAAAGGGGAAAAAACTGGGACAGTCGGAATAGCATAAACAACAAAATACTTTTTAAAATAAAATAATAAGGGCACTGTTCTACCATCTCAGTCACAACCCAGTCATTGGTTCTGTAAAACCATAGACTGCTAACTTTTAAAGCACATGCATATTTGCTAAAGCACAGTCCGTAGACACTGTCTCAAGTCACATCTAAGCTTCAAGTTATGCCTTTGGAATTTGTACCTGTTTAAAAGCAAATAGAAAGAGAAACAGAAACAAATTATGTTTCAGACTATACTAATAGTATTTTAAATCTTAATAGTTATTTTTTAATCTTTTAATCGGTAGTAAAATCAATATAAACTCGGCCAAGTATATGCTTCTCTTTCCTCCCCAACGCTTTAAATAAAACTAGCTTTACAATAAAATGTGTGCACATTTTTAATAGCCTTTCTTAGGAGTAGGGATGGACCGTATGTGTGACATTTCAGTAGGAAGATATTCAACTGTAAAGATATTAGAAATGAAAACTGTTGAAATCAAGTAGGTATTTTCTGTCTTGTGGGTCCCACTGATGGCCTGAAGAGTTAAGGGTGGAGCAAAACGTACAAAAACACTAAAGGGCACGAGATTTTCTAAGAAGCATTTTTTCCACCTGTAAAAGACAAGTGACTTTCTGACTTCATTCTTTTATGACATGTCCCACGAGAAAAGGGAGAAAGCAAAATTGCTTCTGAGTCTGTGAAAGAAGAGGAGAGAAAGGAGGAGGGGGAGAAAGAGTGAAGCTGAAGATACCCTGGAAGAAACCCCGAGAAATTTCACAACTCTTTGCCATAAATAGTCTTTCTTCTCACTCGGGATACCTCCTCCTTGACATCAGCACGGCTCAGCCTCCACGCGCAGGGAGGCACCATTCACAAATCCCTCCGTCACCCCTCCCCGCACCCCTCCGTGGAGATGCTACGGTGACAGCCGGAGAAACCAGCCAACAGATCAGAGGGCCCGAGGGGCCACCTGCGGTTTCGGCTCCTGACCGCTTTCCTTTGCAGGTGAACCAACGCACAGATTGGTCAGGAGCACGAACACACAGGAACGAGCGAACGCACACGCGCGCACACACACACACACACGCACACCCCTCCCTGGAGCCCTGGACACGCCACCACAAAGCAATTTGTTCACACTAAGTCGCCGCCGATCCTGCGCCGCCGGGGAGGGTCTCGCATCCAACCCCGGAAGCTGGAGCCGGAGGACAGGCACGCGGGGGCTGCAGGCGCCCGGGCTCCGGCGCTGCGGCTGCGGCTGCGGCCCCGAGCCCCGGGCTCCCCGCCCCCTCCGCCCGCCGCCCCCGCCCCGGCGCCCGCTGCCCGGCAGCCCCTACCTGCGGGACCCGGTGGCGGCGGAGAGGAGCAGCCCGAGCCTGTGCCAACTCTTGCCTCCTTGGCCGGCCGCACTCCGCATCGCCCCGGAGCGATGGCCGCGGCGCCGGGAGCAGAGAGACGGGGCACGGAGTGAAAGGCCACGCAGCGCGCCGAGAGTCGCCGGCCGGCAGCGAGCGAGCCCGTCCGCCTCCCGCCCGCCCCGCCCGAAAGGCCAGGTCTCCGCGCCGCGCCAGTGGGCCGGCCCCCGGCGTCCCGGGCCTGGGTGGGGGCTGCTCGGGGGCTGCCCCGGCACGCCGCGGTCACCTGCCGGGCGGTCATCCCCGCGTCCCCCCGGGGCTGGACCTGGAGCCTCGGCGACAGGACGCGCGACCCTCCGGGCTCGGGGGCAGCAGGGGCGTTACTACCTTGCGGGCTCCGCGCCGCCTGTTAAGGCTCTTCCCCGGCACTCCGGGGTTTATGTCTTCGGGGCACGGGGTGTCTTTCCCGGACCCCCTCCTCTGCCTTCCCTCCCCTTCTCGGCCGGGGCGCTCCTTCTCTCCACTCCCAGTTGCACAGAGTCCGGCTGCGTTATTTAATAATCCTCCTGCTCCTCTCGCCTGCGCCAGCAGAGCCGCTCTGCCTGAGCCACCGCTTCCCAGTCAGTCATGTTGTTGAGAGAGAGAGAGAGAGAGAGAGAGAGAGAGAGAGAGAGAGAGAGAGAGAGAGAGAGAGAGAGAGAGAGGCGGATTGGCAGTCGGTCGGCGACTATTTGTGGTGAGAGAGCGGAGAGCAGAGCAGGAGGAGGGCAGGGGAGGGCCGTGGGGAGGCGCTTCCAAGTGTGCGAGCGCGCCGCGTGCGACTGTGTGCGGAGCGCGGAGCCGCCTCCCGGGCAGGCCGCGCTCCGACTGTGCGAAGGGCGGCGGCGAGCGCGGCCTTTATAGGGTTCGGTGGGGGGAGGGGCCGGGGCGGCGCCGGGCCAAGTGCGCGGCCGGTTTCCACGCGCGCATACTCACACATTAACGCGCGCACCCCCGCTGCCGGCCGGCTGCTGAGTTTTCATTTTAGGGGCAGCCCCATCCGACCGCGCTGACTCGGCGTTCCCCTGAGCCCAGCGTTTGCTTACGTCGAATCCTAGTGCAGACGCAGGTCAAGAGAGAGTAAGAGGGGGAGCCGAAAGCTAGAGGAAGAACCCCGAGGATGCTGAAAATGCTCTAGATTTTGTCACTGTAAACCACTGATGTCGTCTTCTTTCCCTTCCTCCTCTCAGGGAGGAAAAGAGGAGGCTCTTTCTCCCCTTTTCACCCTCACCCAAGCTGCTATCATCCTGACAGGTCTCTCTTCCTGAAGGGACAGCTAGGAAAGAAACCAGGCTTCTCCCCTAAAAGCAGGTCACACCTTCCAGGAACCGTTTACAGCAATCAATTTTTTTTCCTGAGGGACAATGGAAGCATTGGGACTGTGAACTGGTGTGGAACTTGGGTTCCTACACATCTGGTCCTCGACAACGTAGGAATTACAAACAGAACCAACCATGTTGATACCACTTGACGGATGGTCCCCTGGAGAAAATTTGCCCGTTTAGCGATGGAGAAGACTTGGGATACATGATGCTGTTGCTTACGTAATTTACACTTTCCCTTGATTCTCCCTTCCATTGCACTGCCTCATTACCTTTCAGGTTTACACTGGGTCCTGAACTCTTTCCTAGCTATGCCTTTCTTCGTCTCTAATATATATGCGTGTCCTTATCAGGTAGTACAGCAGATGGAATACATTTAACTGTGTGTATGTGAAACATTTTTTAACCCATTATGTTGGCGTATAGGACCGTTTCTACATAGATAATACTCATACATCCCCAGTGTTAAGTTTATACACCTGACATCACCTCCCTTACACGCTAACTAGTCTCGTGCCGGAATTACAAGATCTTTGTGATCTGGTGCATTACTTTATTGGGAAACAGAGTCCAGCAACCAAGCAATTTATACATCTTTCAAGGGTGTGTGTGTGTGTGTGTGTGTGTGTGTTCGCGTATTCTCTAAATAATCTAACTGGTGATGATCTGACTTCAGAAATGTGATGAATCAATTGGGTGTAAAATAAAGGTTTATTTTTAAATGAGTGTTAGCAGTCAATGTACATTTTGGCATGAGGACAACCCTGCTTTGGTGGGGGGGGACTGAACAATTGGTGGGGAATTTTTTTTAATAAGTGTGACAAATATTTAGGAGGCTGCAAGGTGGTAGAAAGGTTGACAACTCAGTTATTATATCTTCTTTCCTTATAAGTCTCTCATGACCATTGCTATGTCTTCAGGTTTTTCATATTGATTTTTCCCCTAATTCCTTTATGTATCATATAAAGAGTTTAGAGTCTAAGTCCATTAAAAGTAGCTTAAGCATATATCAATAGTTCTAAGAAAGGGTAGCAAATATATCAATAACATATAAAAACAGGACATAATAGCTTCTTTGATTATGCATTGGAAAATAGACACACTAAATGGATACTGGGATTTGATGTATGTATGCCTGCATTTTAAAGATATTATCATTTCTTCAATTTCACAGATCACAAAAGTTAGGTTTGGGGAGGTAAGTAGTTAATCTTAGGTCACAAACAGATCAAGTGAGGAAGCTGGAACTCAACCTTAGTCTGTCTTGCTTTACAGTCCATACAGTTCAGAACTCCTGGGTTAGTTGAAAATTTAAATACTTTCTTTAGAGCTTTTGATAATCATGAAACAAACTGATCTACAACTGTTTGGCATTTTTCTTCTACCTTTTTTCTTTTTCTGTTGCAACAAGTTTTTTACAAAATGTTCATTTCTAAGGGTTGAGAAAGGATTTAAGATGTCCTAACTACTTAGACTTATAGGCGAAAAAAGCTAGGAAACTTTCCTTCTAAGTCTTTACTAAAAAACCCCACTATCAATGCAAATGGAAATTTTTAGAAAAGATATTCATAATGTGAACATTTGCATTTAGCAAATAAATACAAAGGGGAACCCAAAACTGGAATTTAGTCGTAAACATTGTGTATTTATTCCTAGATGTTTAAATTTCAGTGAGCTTCAAAGTACTCTTTTGATGCAATACACCTATAAAAGACATTTTCCCCCACTTCTCAAAACAGTTTTTGAACTCATTGATTCTGATGCATTTTAATGCTTCTGCTGTTTGTTTGTTTGTTTGACCTCTTCCACTTTGGCAAAACTTTTCCCTTTGAGGACATTTTTCATCCAGGGAAACCAAAAAAGTCACTGGGGTTGGGATAAGGTGAATAGGAAAGGTAGGGCACAAGTGTCATGCTGTTTTTGATCAAAAACTTCTGAACACTTGGAGTGATGTGGGCAGATTCATTCGAAAATCACCCATCATGAAATGGGCAAACACACTGAAATAGTCTTCAAAAAAGTCACTCAGGGCAAACACAACCTCTCACATCAATGCCAGCTTGTACTGATACAGATGGGTTCCTAGAACACTCACTTAGTTGAGAGGGTGGGGGGAAAGGAAGCCTGTACTACAAAGGACCCACCATCCAGAAGATAATTCCAGTTTTGTGTGTGTGTATCCCCCATCGTATGTGGTTTATATATCTATAAATAGATAATATTTGTAAAGTTTTGTCCCTCTTTAAGAACGATGTTGAATTATATAGGGCAAGTTTTTTTTTGCTTTTATTGTTCTACTTCTCTAATTATCATCTATAATGATAATTTAATAATAACTCTATATTGCATACTTCAAATTTTCATATTAGACCAGATATTTCAAGGGCATTTTTGGTAACCACAACTGATGGTAATTTTCACACTCTCAATTGCATCCATAATTAGTGAGAACCATGACAATCTGTCCATTGCCTTTATTCATTAAGGTATTAAATAAAGCTAACTTTTCTCACTTAATTTTCTAACAATTTTGCTTGCCAAGTAAAGTCTAGAGTATACATATACTAGATACAAAAAAATATAAAAATGTTACCTAAAACACACTTCTAACCAATTGATTCATTTTAAATATTTTGTATTTCTGTATTAAAAAACTGTACTAGAAATCCCATTTATAAATTATAATAAACAATATTTTATGAGTAATAAGTAAATGAATTACTCTCTTTTAAGATCGTTTAATGGCCCAGGTAGAATTTCCCACATTGCTACATTTTCAATGATACAATTTTTGTTTTGATAGGAAAGCAGAAAGTTAATGACTCTTTTCAGTTTGTTCATTTTCATCTCCTATGCCTGCTGCTGTTTGGTTCCCAAGTGCATTTAACTGGCAAGTTCAATGAAGATCTGGCATTGCACCACTTGATGAAAGCAGAAAATTAGGTTGCCAATTACATATGCGCCCCTTATGTACACTGAATTCCCACTGAAGTTATGAGCCAAATTAAAAATTCTTCAGTAGTGGTACCTAAAAAGTAAACTTGTGACTAGGGAAAGTGAGAGAGAATTTTTTTCTCTGCAACTCTATTACTATAATGAAATTCATAAGATGTTTTACAAAGTGAATTAACTATTTTCTTAAGAATTGAAATATTTTTAAGACTTTTTTATTTATTTATCTTTAGAGGGGAAGGAAAGGAGAGAAAGAGAGAAACATCAATGTATGGCTGCCTCTCCTGTGTTCCATATCGGGAACTGGCCTGCAACCTAGGCATATGCCCGGACTGGGAATCGAACCCACAATCCTTTGATTTCATAGGCCCACACTCAATCCACTGAGCTACACTAGCCAGGGCAGAAAGTGAATTAACTTTAAAATATTTGTGAATAATGTTTGCAGATGAGGTATCAGAAAATAAATTTTTAAGTTGCATTTCTTTTTTTCTGTTCCTGCTATCTTATAGTTTTATGGTTTACTTCATACCCTATCAAGATTATACAGTCAGTATGAAGGCCATTTTCTCTCTTTGCTTTAGCTTAACAGTAAAAAATAAAAAAGAAATGAAAAACAATATGTGTGGTATTAACATTCTGGATTTTTTCGATATTACTACAATATAATTTATTATTTTGTAACAACAGTTGTAACATAAAAACATTCCCCCCTAGGGGAGGAGGTTGGATTTTCAAAAAAGGAGGGGGAGGTTATGATTAAGGAATCTTAACATGGCATTAACTGAGACAGCATACTATAGGCAGAACACAGTAGGTGGAAATTTAGATACAATTTTTTCCAAAACCTAGTAGTGTTTCCAAACTATATTTGATAAATGTCTTTTTTTTTTTCAGGAGAAATTATGCCAAGTATCAGAACAACAAGATCTATTCACGTTCTTGATCTGTGGAGGAGACTAATAGGCCAGGCAAGTCAACTGACCAGGATTTCAAACAAGAATCCTTGGCAGAACCTAAGCCCAGATGACTGGGTCAAAATATTCACTGCATCAGCTGTCTTTGATATGGAATCCACACAGACACCAAGGATCTGTCCCATGGGACAAACATGGTAGCAAGACTATTAAGGTAAATGTATGCCACTGTCCTTGTCACTGAACTACCAGGCTTCAAGTTTTAAAAGTGATGTAGTTCTAAGCCCCTTTAACGGAATGAAAGGAAAGAAAACAACGTGTGTGGAGAGGCATTGCTTAGCCAGCACCTGAGGTAAACCTGAGTTTCCAGGGGAAACTGTCCAGTTCAGAGAGCTGAAAATAGTGGAAGGAGAACTGACTTCAGCATTGATATTCTCTGAATTTACACCTGTCTATTTTTTAATGGAAGTAAGATGTACTAAAAATACTACCAAAAGAGTTTTTATAAGTAGACCCCCAATAATTTTATATAATTTTCTTGTTTTTGTTTCTATTTCCAATGTGGTTAATAAGGTCTTTGGAGAATGACCTGAGGATTTCTCACCTCCACATGAGGTAA